TAAATTCATTTCGTCCTGATTTTGCATGATGCAAAATCATGCTTTTCTCCATACACACATAGCTACATACCCACACACACCCATGCGCACACACAGACACACACAGAGAGAGAGAGAGAGAAAGGAGAGAGAGAGAAAGGAGAGAGAGAGAGAGAGAGAGAGACTGACTTTTGGTTTTGCCTACTGCATTCCTGAATTAATGCATGTTTAGACATTCTTTTTACTAATCTGCTGATCTTTTGATAAGAGAACTGAACTGCAAAATATAGAAAATAAACAGATTTCTCTTCCATTATTCCAACTGAGCACGCCAAATTTGACCTGATGATTAACAACAGCTTTGTGTTGAATATACTGCTTGCCATTAAGCTGATACGTGGAAGAATATTGGCATGTCACCAGTTTCCCATCTGTACTTAAATGAGGCAAGTTTCATGTTTGTAAAAACAAGGTTTTCATATTTTCCTTATGTGAAATATTTAATAAGGCCTGTCAAGGAACCAGGAAGAAGGAGGAGGAGGAGAAACAGGAGGACGAGCGACAACGATGGGTTTGCAAGATGGGTTTATTAAACAAACTAAAGCTACAAACCATAATGTCAATAAACCATGGCTTATGCTTTTCTTGTTTTGTTTTTTTGTTTTTTGTTTTGCAACAGGAAACAGTCATGGCCACTCTGAGTGTAAAGCCAGGCCAGAGGTTCACGCTGCCAGACTGGCATACCAATTCTGACCTCCTCTCAACCAATGCTCAGCGCCAACGCTCTGCTTCCCACCAGATCAGGCAAGAAACCCGGATCCTTTGCAATGAAACAAATAACCAGGTGCGCAAATGCTGGCTGGGGAATTCTGGGAGCTGAAGTCCACATGTCTTCAACTTGCTAAGGTTGAGAAACAATGCTGTAACTGTTCCAGGGCATCTGTGAAAATGTGCATGAAATGAATATGCTGCCCAAAGTCGCTAATTTGTGAGATGGGCAGTATATAAATTGAGAATAGAATAGAATAGAATAGAATAGAATAGAATAGAATAGAATAGAATAGAATAAAGAATTAGAATACAATAGAATAGAATAAAATTAAGAATAGAATTAAGAATAGAATAGAATTAAGAATAGAATAGAATACAATAGAATACAATAGAATAGAATAGAATATAGAATAGAAAAGAATAGAATAGAATAAAGAATAGAATAGAATAGAATAGAATAGAATTAAGAATAGAATAGAATTAAGAATAGAATAGAATTAAGAATAGAATAGAACAGAGTAGAATAGAATAGAATAGAATAGAATAGAATAGAATAGAATGCATTGGAATAATTAGAATAGAATAGAATAGAATATAGAATATAGAATATAGAACAGAATATAGAATATAGAATAGAATAGAATATAGAATACAGAATATAGAATAGAATAGAATAGAATAGAATAGAATAGAATAGAATAGAATAGAATAGAATAGTTTATTGGCCAAGTGTAAAAAGAATTTGTCTCCGGTGCAGAAGCTCTCGGTGTATATACAAACAACTAAGTAATATGATCATAAGATACCAATAGGAGAAGGTAGCAGAGAAGATTTGAAGGATAATAGTAATGCTGCCATACTACATGGGTAAATATCTTTAGACGTAATTACTGTGGTAATTAGATGTTTACCAGAGTGAGGGCATAAAGGGAAAACTATCTTTGTGTCTAGTTGTTTTGGCATGCAGTGCCCTATAACAGCGTCCTGAGGGGAGGAGTTGAAACATTTTATGTCCAGGATGTGGGGGAGGTGTCTGTAGATACCTGCTGCGCCCTCTTTCTGATTCATGCACTATACAGGTCTTCAATGGAAGGCAGGCTGGTTGCCTGTTTTTTTCTGCAGTCCTAACTATCCATTGAAGTCTGTACCTGTCCTGTTTGGTTGCTGTGCCAAGCCAGGCTGTTATTGAGGTACAAATGACAAACTCAATAATTCTTCTTGTACAACTGTATCAGCAGATACTTGGATAGTCTGAACTTTCTGAGTTGACACAGGAAGAACAGTCTTTGTTCTACCTTTTTAATGATGGTTCTAATGTTAGGTGTCCATTTCAAATTCTGGGAGAGTATAGAGTTGGCATGAATGAATGAATGAATGAATGAATGAATGAATGAATGAGTGAGTGAGTGAGTGAGTGAGTGAGTGAGTGAGTGAGTGAGTGAATGAGTGAATGAGTGAATGAGTGAATGAATGAATGAATTGAAAATGCAGAAGTGAAGCTGATAACGCTACCAGTAGCAAAATACTGAGATCCTGTCTTGGTGCTTGGAGACCATTCGGATCTGGAAGGAGAAAAAAAGTTTCATCTCCTCTGATTCTGAAACCAACAGCTTCTGAATGCCCTTGTGCTCCTGTGAACAGAAGTGGCTTGCACGCTGGGTTCCTTTGGATCTTGTTTGAATGCCAGATGGGTGCCATGGTTATGAAAGCCTTGGCACAAGTGTGGCCATTTCTGGAACAGGAAGCTCTGCTGACAGTCAGTCTTGTTCTTGTCATCTCATGGTGGATTATAGCAACCCACTTTACATGGGCCTCGAAGGCCATTTAGAAGATGCAATCCAGGTATTTATGGACGTGTCTAGACCTCTGCTATGGTGCTGCACGAGCTGCCAAATATCTTCTGACAATTTGGCTGGTTGTCATTTTTAAAAGTTGGTTAGCCAGGTCTCCATACCTCCAAGGCCAACCTGTGTTGGGTTGAAGCTGCATCTGTGTTGTAAGATCAAGGAAAGCAGGCTTGCTAAGAACTCTACCCTTAAGGGAGTGTCATCTTCAAGCATTTTGGTGTTGAGCTAGGACATTTTTATCTTTAGAGGCCACCTTCTCTGTTTAATACATTTCTTTGGTTATGTCCTGTCACTTTCTCAAGAACTGAGCTATCTGAATAGTGACTTGAGTTCTTTTTTCCTTCCCCAGACAAAATGGGATGAGCATGACAACCGCACTCGTCTCAANCCAAAACTGGATGCAATATTCCAAGTGTGGCCTTACCAAGGCATTGTAAAGTGGTAACTATGGTAATACTTCATGTGATCTTGATTCTATGCCTCTGTTTATACAACCAAGGGCTGTATTAAAATAAAAACCAAACATCCCCCACCCCACCCCACCCCCGCTGCCAATCCTCAACAGAAATGCTCACAACAATGAAAACATCGGACAGGAGGAAGAGCGCCGCCGGGTGGGCAGGCAGGTGTCTTGTTTGGCTGTGGCTTGGGGGGGGCACTTTTTTCAGTGCCATTGTAACTTCGAACAGTCACTAAGCAAACTGTTGTAAGTCGAGGACTACCTGTACTTTATCACTTTTTCCCTTTTTCTTTTTGGTGATCAGGTTTTTGACACCTTGCTAGGCGACTGGTGGTACTTGGATGTTACCATATCCTAAAAGTGGTACAATGGGTGAAAAGGTTGAAAAGCCCTGGACTAGATGACCTCCTAGGTTCCTTCCAATTCTGTTATTCTATTATTTTGGTAATGAAATATCTGCAAGGGAACAACCAAACTCAGAAAACACCAAAGACTTCATTAGAATATTGTAGATTCAATGGGAAAAAAATAAGCGATGGGTCATCGTTTCAGAGATATTTGCTTAGATGTTTCTCAATGCCTTCAACAGTGACAGAGTTTCAAATTCAGGGTGAGATTCAGAGAGATATCTGCCTTCAAAGTTGAACTGTATAATGCAGTCAAATATCGGGTTGACCCAAGTGGACCAGAGGAAATGATTTATGATATTCTGTATTATGTCATAACTTGTTTTATAAAGCAATTTATAAAATTTGCCCAATTTCAACTGCACAGGATTCATAGATCCCAGATTTTGGATACATTCTGTAAGTTAGCCCATTTGAGGTTCAGAAATTATTCCCCTATGATGCGCTGTTTTGCCCAATTAAAGGACACAACAAGAGTTTTAGTATCACATGAAGTATTAATACCACTTTACAATGCCTTGGTAAGGCCACACTTGGAATACTGCATCCAATTTTGGTCACCAGGATGTAAAAAAGATGTTGAGACTCTAGAAAGAGTACAGAGAAGAGCAACAAAGATGATTAGGGGACTGGAGGCTAAAACATATAAGGAATGGTTACTGGAATTGGGTATGTCTAGTTTAACAAAGAGAAGGACGAGGGGGGACAGGATAGCAGTGTTCCAATATCTCAGGGGCTGCCCCAAAGAAGAGGGAGTCAAGCTATTCTCCAAAGCGCCTGAAGGCAAGACAAGAAGCAACGGATGGAAACTAATCAAGGAGAGAAGCAACCTTCTTGATTCCTCTTTGAAGGACTGTCACTCTTGTTAATTGGTCACCTTGTTGGACGGAGGTCTTCGCCACTTACGCGGTTGTGACCTTCAAAAATTCTTCTTTGACCTGTCGGTAAACAGGTTTTACCATATCCCAAAGGACGGACTCGTCCCCCAACCTGATCTACACCTCCAAGGTCCCTTCCAACTTTATCATCATCATCATCATCATCATCATCATCATTTTTTATTATTAGATAGATAGATTTAACCCTGCACTCACTGCTATTTTCTCTTATTTTCTGTTTACAGCAGTCTGAAATTCTTTCACTGATAGATATCTTTATATGCTTTATCGCTGCCATAGATTGATTTAAGGAAAATACATGTGCAAAATACACACTGCGCTTGGATAATAGAGGGCAGAGTGAAAATAATCATCTTTGTTGCTCCTCTCTGTACTCTTTCTAGAGTCTCAGCATCTTTTTTACATCGTGGTAGCCCTCCCACTTGAAATAAATTACCCTTCTTTATTTAAAAAAAAAAAAAAAACTTGCCCCAAGAGCAGTTCCCACTATTTGAAGCATTTCCTTAACATCTCATCGTTGCCATGGTCCCCTGCTCCTCCTTTGTAAACAGTGGCAGGGAATGCTTTCTGATTGGCTCCCGGAGAGTGTGGTTGCCTGGCAACCTCCTAAAGTGCGCTTAGCAACCTTGCTGATAACAGAGAAAAGCTGCAGGGAGCAGAGGCCAAGCGGAAGAGAGACGGTGAGTGGAAGGTGCCAATTTAGGGGAGGCTAAAACATATAAGGAACGGTTGCTGGAATTGGGTATGTCTAGTTTAACGAAGAGAAGGACGAGGGGGGACATGATAGCAGTCTTCCAATATCTCAGGGGCTGCCCCAAAGAAGAGGGAGTCAAGCTATTCTCCAAGGCGCCTGAAGGCAGGACGAGACACAACGGATGGAAACTCATCAAGGAGAAAAGCAACCTGGAACTAAGGAGAAACTTCCTGACAGTGAGAACAATTAACCAGTGGAACAACCTGCCTCCAGAAGCGGTGAATGCTCCAACACTGGAAGTTTTTAAGAAGAGACTGGACTGCCATTTGTCCAAAATGGTATAGGGTTTCCTGCCTGAGCAGGGAGTTGGACTAGATGACCTCCAAGGTCCCTTCCAACTTTACTACTACTACTACTATTATTATTATTATTACCCCAATATCCCAAATCATCCAGAGTCATCGTTCCTTCTCTAGCAGAACATAACTGTAAAACTTTTCGTCTTCTAACCCAGCGTTTCTCAACCTTTGCAACATTAAGATGGGTGGACTTCAACTCCCAGAATTCTCTTGACTGCCTGCTGGCTGGGGACTTCTGGGAGGAGTTGCAGTCCACCCATCTTAAAGTGGCCAAGGTTGAGCCTTGCTGTTCTAACCTGCTGTCTGTCTGATTTTATGTTTTTAGATGTTTTTATATATATATATATTTCTAATTTTGTACGCCGCCCGAACTCTACTGGAGTTGGATGCCTAGTAAATTAATACCAATAACAGCAGCAGCAGCAGCAACAAGAACAATAATAATAATACAGAAGTAGAATGTAGCTCTGGATTATTTTCATGAGCTCTGTTTGTGGCATCGCTGAAGCTATGAGATTTAATAATAATCTATATAAGTAAAAATGTAAGTGTTCGTTTGTTCAAAATCTTAAATCTCCAAAAGTTCTTCACCGATTGCTTTGAAATGTTGACACAACGTTGCATTCGAATACGCGCATGTTTTTATATACCTATATTATATAGATGTCACACCTGTGACAGGTAAAGACATGCTTTTTTTGAAAAACAGCGCCATCTGTTGGACATAAAAGCAACACACACTTTTACCAGACTGAGCCACAGCAATGCGTGGTCGAGGACAGCTAGTAATATTATAATAATAAAGTTGGAAGGGAACTTGGAGGTCATCAAGTCCAACCCCCTGCTCAGGCAGGAAACCCTATACCATTTCGGACAAATGGCTGTCCAGTCTCTTCTTAAAAACTTCCAGTGTTGGAGCATTCACCGCTTCTGGAGGCAGATTGTTCCACTGGTTAATTGTTCTAACTGTCAGGAAGTTTCTCCTTAGTTCTAGGTTGCTTCTCTCCTTGATGAGTTTCCATCCGTTGCTTCTCGTCCTGCCTTCAGGCGCTTTGGAGAATAGCTTGACTCCCTCTTCTTTGGGGCAGCCCCTGAGATACTGGAAGACTGCTATCATGTCCCCCCTCGTCCTTCTCTTCGTTAAACTAGACATACCCAATTCCAGCAACCGTTCAGCAATTTATATTGCTTTCCCCCCCATTTCTTTTTTTAAAATAACTTTTATGGAAGAAGGTTTTCAACAGAGTTAAACACTTTTGAATTAAAGAAGAATAAAGAAAAGTAATAAGAAAGCAAAAAAGAAATATAGAAAAAAAGGAAGAGAAACTATTCCAAAGAAGTGACTTCTGATCTTCTTAACAGCTGTTATAAATAGATTTATATTTTATCTTCTCTCTCTACGGTAACATCATAGTTTCCTTCTTTCTATAAGCTGCCCTTTCTAATCATCGGCTCCATAAATCACAAGTTCACTTTTCTCTTCTTTTTTTCCAGCAAAAAGTCCATAAGAGGTTTCTAGTCACAAATAAATGTAGTTACTGATCTTTCTCTAATCAAGCACGTTAATTTTGCCATCTCTTGTCACCATCATGTTGTAGACATCTTAAGAGTCTTTCCATTTTAACTCATAGGAATCTCGCAGCAGGGATCATATAAAAAAATAATATTCTGTGACTCATTTTTAATTGACTGTCCAGTAATCCCAGTTAAAACAAAAAACAAAAAAAACCCAGTTTGGCTTCAGTTGAAAGTTGATCTTTAAAATTCTTTGTTATCTTTCTATGTATTTGAACCCAAAGTTTTCTGGCTGTTTTAGAAGTCCATTAGGTGTGATAAAATGACCCTTTGGGTTATGTTTCCAACATAAAGTTGAAATACCTTTACACTTTCTGGAGAAGGTTGCTTAGTTTGTGATTTTGCGTCCCTTAAATTCATTTCGTCCTGATTTTGCATGATGCAAAATCATGCTTTTCTCCATACACACATAGCTACATACCCACACACACCCATGCGCACACACAGACACACACACACACACAGAGAGAGAAAGAAGAGAGAGAGAGAGAGAGAGAGAGAGACTGACTTTTGGTTTTGCCTACTGCATTCCTGAATTAATGCATGTTTAGACATTCTTTTTACTAATCTGCTGATCTTTTGATAAGAGAACTGAACTGCAAAATATAGAAAATAAACAGATTTCTCTTCCATTATTCCAACTGAGCACGCCAAATTTGACCTAATGATTAACAACAGCTTTGTGTTGAATATACTGCTTGCCATTAAGCTGATACGTGGAAGAATATTGGCATGTCACCAGTTTCCCATCTGTACTTAAATAAGGCAAGTTTCATGTTTGTAAAAACAAGGTTTTCATATTTTCCTTATGTGAAATATTTAATAAGGCCTGTCAAGGAACCAGGAAGAAGGAGGAGGAGGAGAAACAGGAGGACGAGCGACAACGATGGGTTTGCAAGATGGGTTTATTAAACAAACTAAAGCTACAAACCATAATGTCAATAAACCATGGCTTATGCTTTTCTTGTTTTGTTTTTTTGTTTTTTGTTTTGCAGCAGGAAACAGTCATGGCCACTCTGAGTGTAAAGCCAGGCCAGAGGTTCACGCTGCCAGACTGGCATACCAATTCTGACCTCCTCTCAACCAATGCTCAGCGCCAACGCTCTGCTTCCCACCAGATCAGGCAAGAAACCCGGATCCTTCGCAATGAAACAAATAACCAGGTGCGCAAATGCTGGCTGGGGAATTCTGGGAGCTGAAGTCCACATGTCTTCAACTTGCTAAGGTTGAGAAACAATGCTGTAACTGTTCCAGGGCATCTGTGAAAATGTGCATGAAATGAATATGCTGCCCAAAGTCGCTAATTTGTGAGATGGGCAGTATATAAATTGAGAATAGAATAGAATAGAATAAAATAGAATAGAATAGAATAGAATAGAATAGAATAGAATAAAGAATTAGAATACAATAGAATAGAATAGAATTAAGAATAGAATTAAGAATAGAATTAAGAATAGAATTAAGAATAGAATAGAATTAAGAATAGAATAGAATAGAATAGAATATAGAATAGAAAAGAATAGAATAGAACAGTGATGGCGAACCTTTTAGAGACCGAGTGCCCAAACCGCAACCCAAAACCCACTTATCTATCGCAAAGTGCCAGGGGCCCATCAGCATTGTGGTGCCCTCGGGGGGGGGCAGGGAGGCACCTCTGAGTGTCACCTCTGTCACGCCAAAACCAGGAGCCCAAAAATAGGCCACCGTGCTGCAAGGTGCAAAAACGGCCGCCGCTGCACCACAGGGTGCAGATACAAGGCGCTGCACCACACAACAATGGGGCAGGGCTAGTGAGTATCACGCAGGCACTAGCACCGCCTCATTTGCAGCACGTGCATGCTCGCGGCCCCGTGCGTGCACGCACACATGTAAAATGCTTCCCCCTCCCTTTTCTTCCAGTCCACCAATCGACAATGGTTGGTGACCTCTGCTCTACCACCTCTACTCGAGCTTGCTAGTTGGCCGCTTCGCCTCCTTTGTGCTGGACGGGGCTCCTGCTCTGGGCGGCAGTGGCGGTCTGATGGACCTGCTGCTGGCGGCAGTGGCATGCGTGCCAACAGAGAGGGCTCTGAGTGCCGCCTCTGGCACGCGTGCCATAGGTTCGCCACCACTGGAATAGAATAAAGAATAGAATAGAATAAAGAATAGAATAGAATAGAATTAAGAATAGAATAGAATTAAGAATAGAATAGAATTAAGAATAGAATAGAACAGAGTAGAATAGAATAGAATAGAATAGAATAGAATGCATTGGAATAATTAGAATAGAATAGAATAGAATAGAATATAGAATATAGAATATAGAACAGAATATAGAATATAGAATAGAATAGAATATAGAATATAGAATACAGAATACAGAATATAGAATAGAATAGAATAGAATAGAATAGAATAGAATAGAATAGAATAGTTTATTGGCCAAGTGTAAAAAGAATTTGTCTCCGGTGCAGAAGCTCTCGGTGTATATACAAACAACTAAGTAATATGATCATAAGATACCAATAGGAGAAGGTAGCAGAGAAGATTTGAAGGATAATAGTAATGCAGCCATACTACATGGGTAAATATCTTTAGACGTACTTACTGTGGTAATTAGATGTTTACCAGAGTGAGGGCATAAAGGGAAAACTATCTTTGTGTCTAGTTGTTTTGGCATGCAGTGCCCTATAACAGCGTCCTGAGGGGAGGAGTTGAAACATTTTATGTCCAGGATGTGGGGGAGGTGTCTGTAGATACCTGCTGCGCCCTCTTTCTGATTCATGCACTATACAGGTCTTCAATGGAAGGCAGGCTGGTTGCCTGTTTTTTTCTGCAGTCCTAACTATCCATTGAAGTCTGTACCTGTCCTGTTTGATTGCTGTGCCAAGCCAGGCAGTTATTGAGGTACAAATGACAGACTCAATAATTCTTCTTGTACAACTGTATCAGCAGATCCTTGGATAGTCTGAACTTTCTGAGTTGACACAGGAATAACATTCTTTGTTCTGCCTTTTTAACGATGGTTCTAATGTTAGGTGTCCATTTCAAATTCTGGGAGAGTATAGAATGGGCATAAATGAATGAATGAATGAATGAATGAATGAATGAATGAATGAATGAGTGAGTGAGTGAGTGAGTGAGTGAGTGAGTGAGTGAATGAGTGAATGAGTGAATGAGTGAATGAATGAATTGAAAATGCAGAAGTGAAGCTGATAATGCTACCAGTAGCAAAATACTGAGATCCTGTCTTGGTGCTTGGAGACCATTCGGATCTGGAAGGAGAAAAAAAGTTTCATCTCCTCTGATTCTGAAACCAACAGCTTCTGAATGCCCTTGTGCTCCTGTGAACAGAAGTGGCTTGCACGCTGGGTTCCTTTGGATCTTGTTTGAATGCCAGATGGGTGCCATGGTTATGAAAGCCTTGGCACAAGTGTGGCCATTTCTGGAAAAGGAAGCTCTGCTGACAATCAGTCTTGTTCTTGTCATCTCATGGTAGATAATAGCAACCCACTTTACATGGGCCTCGAAGGCCATTTAGAAGATGCAATCCAGGTATTTATGGACGTGTCTAGACCTCTGCTATGGTGCTGCACGAGCTGCCAAATATCTTCTGACAATTTGGCTGGTTGTCATTTTTAAAAGTTGGTTGGCCAGGTCTCCATACCTCCAAGGCCAACCTGTGTTGGGTTGAAGCTGCATCTGTGTTGTAAGATCAAGGAAAGCAGGCTTGCTAAGAACTCTACCAAATTCCCTCACAGTAGAAGTTCGTAAAACCACAACTCGATCCTGTAAAAATAGAAATCTCCGGTGGAAGAGACAAATTATGTAAAGAAACCAATACAGGACAGTGAAAGAGTTCTTGACTCGATAGACTTATCACTGAACTCAAGAAAAAAGGAAGGGGTCTGTTTTACCCTACTCGTACTGTTGGCGTGAGCAGAGTTTGAGCGTCTTGACATTGTCAATCGATGGAAAGAAACTCTGGATAAGTGCCTCACCGACATGGACACGGAAATAAATAGCTTGACTCAAGTACGTGATGGACTCATGTCTTCCTCACCCCATCCCACCCTCCAGGAAACTAGTGGCAAATCTCCCATGTTCCGCAGTTCATTCTAAAGACACAACACCAACCCAGATCGCGTATTCCTCCTGAATAGGGACTGGCCACTTTAAGCTCAGAGCATTTGCACACTTCTGGTAGGCAAGATTTGTGGTGGACTGGAGCTAGCACTAACTTTTTGGGAAAGTCTTAAGGGCGGCAGCAAGGATGAAGTGATGCAAAATTGTTGAACATTATTGTGTCTTGAGCTATGTCTGTAATCTAAGACCCATGTTAAATCAGAGAAATGAGAGTATGGTGTTGATGTGTTTCATGGTCCCCAGTGGTAGGAGATTGACCTACAATGGCCATAAAGTTGTTTCTCTAAGTACCACTGTTGCCCTACTCCTCTTCTAGACCACTTTCCCCCCCCCATGTTTTCCCCATGCCGAGCTTCTTCTCTTTTTTGTCCTTACTAAAACATCTACTGCTGAGTTATAAACATTATAAACATTTCCAATAATGCAAATGTTAGCCTGACTTTCCTCTTCCAGGAACAGACTTATTGTTTGTTTATGGTAGGGGTAGGCAACCTGGGCTCTTTTGTGACTCGTGGACTTCAACTCCCAGAATTCCTGAGCCAGCATGGCTCAGCTTGGAAACATCTCCCTTTCCCCTCAGCATGGCTGGCTCAGGAATTCTGGGAGTTGAAGTCCACGAGTCATAAAAGAGCCAAGGTTGCCTACCCCTGGTTTATGGGAGATATTTTTAGACCACCAGAATCCCCAGTGCATGAGGAAGTGGAAAAGGGAAGTGGGAAATCCCTCTTTGTCCATTGCTTCAGCTCTTCTTTGTGGAGTTCTTAGTGGTGTGTGAGCTTGCTTGTTTTCTTGCAGAGGTTTCATTACACAACTAGGCAATTTCATCGGTGCACTCAGAGAGCAACAAGGACCCCAGAGCTTGACCTGAGCCACAAATATTCTCTTCTTTGGCAAACTTTTCTGCACCAGGATTACTTTGCCCAGTGGGCAGAAGGTCTAGGTTTTATCCCCCCCACCCCCTGCCTCCATTTCCTCTTATCCTGGAGCAAAAAAGTTTGGAAGACCACCAGACTCTTCTCTGGGTTTGATGGAGCAATACAGTTTTTTTTTCCCGCCTGCTCCTCTGTAAACTATCAGAGATAGTGAGATGGATATCTAATCCAATATTAGAAGGTTGGTGGTGTTAGAAACACAGATCGAAATACACTGCTATGGTGCACGATGCATTGCCTTAGAACAGTGATGGCGAACCTTTTAGAGACCGAGTGCCCAAAAACTGGCCCCGCCCCTGCTCCACCCCCCCATCCCCTGCCCCGCCTGCCCGCAGGGCCACTCACTGCCTCCAGGGCCTACCACAGATCACCCAGGCAGCCCAGCAGTGCTATGGTGGTCACGCCCTCTAGCCCGCACCCTGCAGCATCAGCTGTGCACGATGGGGTGTGAGGGCAGAGTCTTGTCTACGCTGCCTGGCTGCCATGTCCTTGGCTGCGCTGCTCTGCGTGGGCCACGCTCAGGGGCGACTCTCCTTCAGGGGGGCTGCTGGTGAGGAGGGGGTCGCGTGGAGAGGCAAGGCTGGGGCAGCAGCACATGTGCCCACAGAGAGGGCTCCGAGTGCCGCCTCTGGCACCCATGCCATAGGTTCGCCACCACTGCCTTAGAATGTTGCTCCCAATGTTGAGATTCGTTGTGCAATGAATTAATTGGTAAGACTGGTCTATGAAAGCTGAGCCTCAGCAAACAATTTCCACAGAATGAGTCTGCTGTCTCCGACTGTTTTTCCCCACCCTTGTTTCGGCTGGTCTTTCTCCTGCTTACTCTATTCTTTTTTATATATATAAATATTTTATTGGGTTTTACAAGGATAAAGAAGGGATGGGATCGGTATAGGTATTAGGTAGGGTCCAGGAATGGGGTTGGGGTAAGGGTAGATACAATAATGGGGTTGCCCCCAACAATAATTCTACGCTTTAACAAGCAGACTATCGTCTGGATACAAATATTAAATAACAATAATTAATGTAATGGTAAATAGCTATAATCACTAGGAATAACAGTAATCGTGAAAATAATGATTAATCAGTAAATATCTTTCATCCTA